GGGCAGCTCCCTCCCTTCCCCCAGTGATGTGATCGAGGCTGGGTCACTCTGTGAGTGGGGGGTGACCCTGCTATTCCCTTGGCTGTATTGCTCAGGGAGGGGACCTGGGGGCAGAGCAGGGGTGGGAAGAGGCAGGTTTGGGGCGGAGTGGGGGGCTGTCCCGGGCTCCTGTGTCTCTGTAGGGACGGCCCTGACAAAGGAGCAGTGTTAGGTTGGAGAGGACTCCACTGTTTCTACAGGCCTGTTTGTAGGCTGCTGTGTGGCAGGCCACTTGTCCTCGCAGCTCGCTCTGCCTCTGCTGCCCTGAAACTCGATCGTGTCTCCCTCGGTTCGGCATGCGCAGCTCCCTTGTCTAAGAGCGTCCGTATGAACTGAGCTGTGCTGGTTTGGTCTAGGTACTCTAGAGGAGTCCTGTCCCCAGGTCGCCATGTCCGGACACGGTTATACTTTACCAGCGAGAGCCACGTACATTCTCTGCTCAGCATCTTCCGCTATGGGGGGCTCTTGGATGTAAGTGTGCCCGCAGTACCCTAGGGGACCTGCCCTTCTTTGTCAGCCCTGCCCAGGCTGCTGACTACCCCTCCCAGCTAACTGCTCATCAGGGACTCGGCCCACTGGGCGCTAGCGCTGCTGTGTTCGCATGTCAGGGGCTGCTTTTCCATTTTGGCGTGTGGCTGTGAGTCTGATTAGCTCTCCAGTTCTTGCTGAACAATGCCTCGTGCCAAAGCCCGGGGGGTCAGACCGGGGCCTAGCTCGCGGAGTAAGGTGCCGCTGAGTGTGAGTAAAAATGGCAGAAGGCGCAAGTGAGTCTGGATCTGCTACTCTGCTCCCCTCTGTGCTCTTGGAAGGGAAGCTAGGCCAGGCTCTGCTTTAGAGACTTGAGTCAACGATTCGCTTCTGTTCCCCTGAAGTCCAGGAGCTGGAATTGCAGCTTCTCCAAGGTGGGTGCATCAGATGATGGGACAGCTGTTCCCAGAGTATCGTGAGCTTTCCTGGGCTCAACCCACATCTGCTCCTGCTCCTCTGTGTGCTCTGTTAGTTTCTAAGGGCTGAAGGGCTAGTTGTTGTTTGGGTTTCCCAGAGTAGTTAGCCGTGGTTCAGTCACACTGGAGGGACACATCGAATGGGGACTTGCAGTGGGCAGTTCTAGGGCTGGTTGTATTCAGATCTTCATCAGGGAGTCTGGCAATGGCCCAGAGAGTACACTCATAACATTCCCAGATGATCCCAAGCTGGGAGGGCTTGTGAGTGCTTTGGAGGACAGGATTGAAATTCAGAGTGATCTGGGCAAATGGGCTGAAGTAAATGGGCTGAAATTCAATAAGGACAAATGCAAAGGACTCCGCTTAGGAGGGAACAATTCGTCACACACGTGCACAGTGGGAAATAACTGCCTAGGAAGGAGCACGGCACAAAGGGATCTAGGGTCATAGAGATCACGAGCTAAATACGAGTCAGCAGCGTGACACTGTTACCAAGAAAGCAAACCTCTTTCTGGGTATGTCTACACTACCACCCTAGTTCCAACTAGGGTGGTTAATGTAGTCAATCGAAGTTGCAAATGAAGCCCGGGATTTAAATATCCCAGGCTTCATTTGCATCTTGCCAGGTGCTGCCATTTTTAAATCCTCAGTAGTTCGGACTCCGTGCACGCGGCTACACGTGGCACGGAGTAGGAAGTTCAGATTAGGCTTTCTAATTCGAACTACCGTTACACCTCGTTCCACAAGGAGTAACGGTAGTTCGAATTAGCCTAATTCAAACTACCTACTCCGTGCCATGTGTAGCCGCGGGCAGGGAGTCCGAACTACCGGGGATTTAAAAATGGCGGCACCTGGCAAGATGCAAATGAAGCCTGGGATATTTAAATCCTGGGCTTCATTTGCAACTTCGATTGACTACATTAACCACCCTAATTCGAACTAGGGTGGCAGTGTAGACATACCCTCTGAGATGTATTAAGAAGATGCAGGAAGTAATTCTGCTCTACTTCTTCATGCTGATTAGGCCTCAACTGGAGTATTGTGTCCAGTTCTAGGAGCCACATTTCAGGAAAGATGTGGAGAAATTGGAGAGGGTCCAGAGAAGAAACAAAAATGATTTTTTGGGGGGTTTAGAAAATATGATCTATGAGGGGAAGTCTGGAAGAATTGGGTTTACTAGTCTGGAGAAGAAAAAAATAAGGGTTAGCATGATTTTTCATGTATCTAAAAGTTCATTTAGAGGAGGGAGACAAACTGTTCCCCTTGGCCTCTGAGGACAGGACAAGCAGCAAGGGGCTTCAACTGCAGCCAGGGAAGTGGAGGTTGCACATTAGGGAAAACTTCGTGCCTGTCACGATGGTGAAACACTGGAGAGAACTGCTGAGGGAGATTGTGGAGTCTCCATCATGGAGATTTTAAAGAGCAGGTCAGATAAATCCCCACCAAGCATGGTCTAGATCACGGTGGGGCAAAATGCAGCCCATGGTCTGGATCCGGCCTGCCAAGCCCCCAGATCCGGCCCATGGACATAGCAGGGAGCCTCAGGCAGACTCCCTGCTTGCCCTGCACCCAACACTGCTCGAAGTGGATGCCATGTCCGTTTTTCTTTCTCAGTTGTGAGCCTGGGAGGTAGTGGTGCTTCATGCGCTGCGCCCACCCACAACACAATCTCATTGGCTAATTTCTGGCCAATGGGAATGGCCTTATTCACCAAAGCACATGGCCCCAGCAGCCTGTGTGGGGGTGAGGAAGGCAGAGAGCTTATCTGAGAAACGTTCTGGGCTGCTGGCCAGGAGTCACCCAGGTAAGTCTTCTGTAGGGTTGCCAGGTACCCGGTATACACCTGGACAGACAGGTATTTTCACCTGCTGCCCAGTAAAAAAATTCAGAGAATACCGGACACCTGAGATGTCTGGTATTTTCTGAATTTGTCCCCAGCCAGGAGGCAAAAATGCCAGGCGCCTGGCACAATACAAACACTCAGCGCCTGGCCTCTCCCCCCTCCCCAGCTCCCCACCCCAGCCCCCATGCTTACCTGGATCCCCAAGGCTGCCAGCACAAAATGGCTGCCGGCCAAAAGACCTAGGGGAAGCAATGCTTAGTGCTCAACCGCTCCCCTGTTCCTATCCCTACACTCACTCTTAAAGGGTACATGCTATTTTATTTTAATTTTTTGGGGGCTTAATAAGTCCTTAGAGTCTTTTTTTTTTGCTCAACGACTCTTTGGTCCTCCTCCTCTTCCCCCGCCTCTAACAGAATTTTTTCCTGATGGTTTTTTGGGGGGGGGGCAGGGTGGGGGGGAGAGTTTCGGTATATTTGTTTCAACCATCTGGCAACCCTAGTTTTCTGGCCAGAGCCTGCCTCTGGCACCTGAGCCCCCTCCCTCCCCACAAGCCCTCTACCCCACATAAGTCAAAACCTCTGTCACTCTCTTGAACCCATACTACCTCCTGGACCCTGCATCCCAATCCCCTGCCCAAAGTCACAACCTAAACCCCTATACCTCCTCCCGAACCCCAGTACCTAGCCCCAGGCCATAACCTCCTCCTGCCTTAGGTCACAACCCAAATCCCCAGTCCAGTGCCTCAAGTCACAACATCTCCTTTCACCCAGACTCCCTCCCAGACCCCACACTGCCCCAACTCATTTACCTTGACCTCCCTTCTGCACCTAACCTCTATCCCAGACCCTGCATCCTCCATTAATATAATGGAAGAGTGCTGCCCTTCACCACTTTCCAAAATCTTGGAGTGCCCCTCCCCCCCATCAAAAATTATTTCCCACCCCTGGGCTATATGCTCCTGTTCAATAGTGATGAAAAGAAGTGCTCTCCCCCTGTCCTCATATAGCCTCAGAAATCATAAGGCTTTTTCTGGGCAGGCAGTGGAAGGAAGCACTTTGGCTTCCTTAAGGAGTGCCTTACTTTTCCCCCTTTCCCAAGGCAATCCCTCAGTCCTCATTCCAGCCCTACCAGTGATTCTGTGCACACCCTTATTCCCCACCATTCCTATTTCTTTTCTTTCTGCTTAGGAAAGAAGTCATTCAAGGTGTCAACATTTTAAACTCTACTGGCTATATGGACAAATAGTATAGATGGGGGGGGGGGTCATTTTATGCTGGAAATTGCTTGTGGCTGTCATCACTGGTTCTTAGATCTATAAGCAATTACAAAACTGGTTGAAGCTGTTGGCTCTTGCTAACCAGAGGCCAAGGGCTCCATCTTCCCCTTCTAGTTTTTCCAGTTCTCCCCCAAATCAATAGGATTCTACCCTTTGAAGTGCAGATCATGCCATGAAATTTGGAATTAATCGGATGTGAACTGATCTTTAAGGAAAATAAAGAATTAACATGTATACTACAGATGTCACTGATAAAGATTTGCATGTTCCTGCCCATTTCTCACTGCACTGATGGTTCAGATTTCATGAGCTCAATTTCTGTCCTGTCA